TTTTTTCTTTCAAAAAACTGAATAAATTACACAATAATACATCTGACACAAAATGCTAGATATAGCAAAAATTATAAAACGTATTTTTTTGTTTTAATTTCAAGGTTCATTAAACCCTGTAGTTTAAAAAAAATATCATCTTCTGACAATTATTTCATGGTTCAAGCTTTACAGGGTAAATTCTTCATGGCATGGATAGATGGCATGTTTACATGATAGCATCACACAGCTGCTGCACAGCCATAATGGGAATTTCCTGTTCCACCACATCCTAAGGTGTTCTTTTGGATTGTGTTCTTGTGGCGTTGGAGGCCTTTTGAGTACACTGGACTCATTCTCATGTTCAAGAAAGCAGTTTGAGATGATATGAGCTTTGTGACATGGAGCATTATCCTGCTGGAAGCAGCTGTCAGAAGATGGGTACACTGTCGTCCTAATGGGATGGACGTGGTCAGTAAGAACAGTCAGGCAGGCTGTGGTTTGTAAATGATGCTCAGATGTCACTAAGGGGCCCAAAATGTTCCAAGAAAGTACATGTCACACCATTACACCCCCACAGCAGCCTCAACTATTGATACAGGCGGGACTGATTCATGCTTTCATGTTCTTCATGCCAAATTCTTGTGCTACTATTTGAATGTTGCACTTATGAGACCAGGCAAAAATCTCCAATTTCCAGTCTTCTGTTGTCTGACTTTGGTGAGCCTGTGCAAACTGTGTCTTCAGTTTTCCTGTTTAAGCTGACAGAAGTAGCACTTGGATTTGTTCTTCTGCTGCTGTTCATCTGCTTCATCTGCTATTGTGCGTTCTGAAACGCTCTTCTGCATTCATTGGTCGTAAGGAGTGGTTATTTGAGGCCTTGTTGCCTTCCTGTCAGCTCGAAGCAGTCTGGCTTCTGATCTCCTCTGATCTTTGGCATTTTTGTCCAGAGAAATGCTGCTCACTCATTTTCAGACCATTCTCCATAAACCCTAAAAAATAGCTGTTCAGGAAAATCTCCGAATATTAACAATTTCTGAAATACTGAGATTTCTGTATGGCATCATGAGCCATGTCACTTTTAAAGTCGCTTGAATCAGCTTTTCTCCCCATTCTGATGCTCAGTTTGAACTTCAGCAGGTCATCCTGACCATGTTCCATTCCTAAATGCTTTGAGTTGATAAGTTGTGATTGATTAATTAGATCTTTTTATTTGTAAGCAGTTGAATAGGGGTACTTAGTGAAGCATATTTGTGGATCTGGATGGTTAAATAGAATTTGTGTATATAAATGGTATGTTTTTTGTTTTACTTTTAATAAAAAGAAAATAAAATCTTCATGTTCCCACACTGATGTTATTTTTGTGAAGAATATTTTGGCATGTTCACTGAATTATTTACCTGTTGTTTATTTTACGTCCAGTACCTCAGCTGCTTGTCTTCCTCTCAGTCTTCAACTGACAAGCTGGCTTTTGATGTTGGCCTGCAAGAGGACAAAACAGGTATTTATTTGAACGATCAGTTAAAATACTTTCTTTGTTAAGGTATTTGCGATGCTCCCACCCTATATTGTGTTTTACAATTATAATATTTTTTAAATCAGCTGTCTGTGAACTGCTTGTTTCCCTTTGTGTTTATATTCTGTGTGTGGTTCAGGGGAGGCGTGTTGGTGGACTGTCCACCCAGCATCCAGACAGAGGTCAGAGGGTGAGAAGGTGCGTGTAGGTGATGACCTCATACTTGTGAATGTGTCTTCAGAGAGATACTTGGTGAGTCAGAACAAAACTGAAGTTTTCCTTAATGGCAAAAATATACTCTGAGTGAGCCTCCACTACGTTAAATATCAAGCACACTAACCTGGTTAAAAGTTCATTTTGTAGACAGTGAGGTAGCAGAAAAGGGTTGCACTTTTATATATTTTATGTTTAACAGCCATTTTATGGCTATGCACAGATATTTTTGGAATGACACCATGCTGTGATCTCATCCGCTGGGATCAGGTTTGGTCTATCGGTGGTGGGCCAGGGGACATTGTAAGTAGTGTATGGGAAAGCATAATTGTGACAAGAGCGGTGGCAAGGGAGCAGCGATCCATTACTAATGCTAAAAACAATCCTAGTTGGCCGGCTAGTCTCCATTGGTCGCTTGCCAAAAGCTCCAGCCATGACTGCATTTAGTGTTTGTTAACTACCTGCCCCTCAACAAGACTGACAAGAGGTTGGAATCATAATCAGAAGGTTAGGCTGGTTAGCATGTGAACCTCAGAGTTATTTCACACAGTACCTGGCAAAAGTTTTCTCATGTCTCGAATATGTTGTGTAGCTTAATGGCTTCAGATATAAAATAAAGACAAGTTGTATTTATTGTTGATGAGAATATATTTAATGCCATTTTGTTTTTTCCCAGCACCTTTCCTTCGGCACTGCATCTGACAACAAAAGCTTGAGTGACAGTCTGATTGTTAATGCAGCCTTCCAGCAGACCCTCTGGAGTGTTGCTCCCATCTGCTCTGGACACGCCGTTGCTCAAGGCAAGTTTTGTTTCCTTTTACTTTCTAAACATGTTGCAAAGTAGCTCCTTTCTCAATTTAGATAATCCACCTGATTCTTTTGCTCCCAACAAATACAGCTCTTTCAGTTTCTGCACTGCAGATAATATTAATATGTTGGTAATAAATAATACATCAAAGCTGTATTTTAATAAATTGAGGGGACCAAATGCTAGTTCATAAAGATGCTATGGGCTTTTGAACTATTATTAATTGTGTGCAAAATATAAAGTTAGTTCAGTGCTGATGCAGTTTAGATGGATTCCAGAGGTTTTCCACAAGTATTCAATTTAAAGCAGTTACACTGAAATAACATAAAATGAATATGTACTTTCAGCTTTAATTTTAACATTAACCATTTTCATACACAGGCTCAGAATTTCAGAGAGCAGATTCAACAAATTAAAACCATAATAAATCAAGTGTGTAGTTTTAATACTTTCTCAAGTCTGAAACCATGGGGATGACAGAAGAATTGGATTTCTGTGTTGTTGTTGTTGTTGTTTTCAGGTTTTTTGCAATTTAAAAAAAAAAGAAAAAACAGTCTATATTTTAGACACTTTTTGTTTGTTAGTTGTTCTTGGTGCCTTTTTTTTGCCCATGCATAACACTGGCTTCACAGAATTTTAATGAGGATATTGTATGTTTCTTCTCCAGCTTTTACATTCCCTTTTCCCCTCGTCATACTTCAGGTTGATCACTTATCCAAATAATGGTGGTCAAGCATTGCTCTAAATGTTTTTGGGTGTTTGTGGCAAATCTTTTTTTCCCTTTCTGATCTCGAGACTTGTTTTGCACCTTGTGGTGAGCCCTCTGTTTTTGCCCTTTTGAAGTCTTCTCTTTTGTGGCAAGTCTTGGGTTATAAGATTCCTCTTTCCTGGAGAGAATTCTTCACATGACTGGAGGGGAATTTATCTATAGCATGGAAATGACTCTATCACCACTGATGTCTTCCCTGGATGTAGGGTCACTTATGTGGTGTGTGCGTGTATCTCTCTGTGTGTGTTTTTGCTCTGTGCTAATGTTCCTGCTGTCTCCCTAATGGTTATATATTGTTTTGCAGCCCAAGGCCTGTCTTACTCACCACTTCACCTCTTTGACCACATGTTAGTGTGAAGGGGTTTAAATAACATGTGATGTCTGTGTTTCTTTATAAAATTCTGTTTAAGATCAGTCAAAAAGAAGCTGCAAATATTCAAACTTAAGGTTAGCAGTCGCTAGAGCTTTTACTACAGTTATAGATTACCTTTTGTGCTACTTCTGTGAAATGTTGCATGTTTTACTAACCACTTCAAAGCAATAAATGTTTTTTTTTTCTTGCTGACTCTAGGATACCTGAAGGGGGGTGAAACACTTCGGCTACTCCACAGCCATAGTGACGCATGTCTGACTGTTCCCTCTACAGAGCATGGAGAGGAGCTTCAAAGGTTAGTCGAAAAGACCAGTCTCCTCCCAAGTCAGCTTGCAGAAACGTCCTTTACTACTCTGACTATGTCTGTTTTCTTAATCTAGGATAATGCATTATGAGCTTGGATCAGTCTCCGGTCATGCCCGGTCTCTCTGGAGGCTGGAGATTCTGCGAGTTGTGTAAGTGTACAGGGAATGTGGCGTCCGCTCACTTTGAGTATCAATAAATATGTTGCTTTTAAGCGCTATTCTATTCGAGCTCTGTAGTTCTAATGTTGTTACTAGAAAATACCAGTATATAGAGAGGTAATGTTGTACGTATTGCACCAGGTCACCACCAGCCACAGAATTTCTGTTTTTGCCTGAAAGAGTGTGCACAATTGCTAGAGTCATACTTGATGTCATTGGCCCAGAACTTAGTCCCCCATGTCCCCTGCATGCTAATAGGGATTTTGACAGTTATGAGGAATAACTAAATGTTGTGGAGTGCTTGGTTTCTTCTCTTTATGTTTTCCAGTTGGAGTGGTAGGCATACATGCTGGGGCCAGCCATTCAGACTGTGCCACGTTACTACTGGAAGATACCTGGGTCTCACAGAGGAGAAAGGTCTGCAGCTGGTTGATCGGGACAAAGCTGACATCAATACAACCTCCTTCTGCTTTCGATCATCAAAGGTGAGGGGGGATATGAGAAATACACTGGACATTTCAGTGGTGTTCTGAGTCTTTAGAGATATAGACTGTAATGTCATTTGTTTGAGTTTTTTTGTGTTTATTAAAAGAGAAAAGTTAGAAAAATAAGAATATTTAATGCCTTTTTTTGTGTTTAGGAGAAGCTTGACACCAACACAAAGACTGATGTTGATGGGATGGGAATCCCAGAGATCAAATATGGAGATTCCATTTGTTTTCTTCAACATGTAGCCTCTGGGCTCTGGCTAACATACCAAGCTGCTGATGCCAAGTCCCATATGGGTGGAGCTCAGCGAAAGGTGAACTTGTATACTCAGTATTACTATAATAAGACAATAACTGGCAGTTAACCAACAGTGTTGGACTAAAGAATCTGGCAAAAGAATCTGTTGGATATAATTGCAAATGATGTGTTTTCAGGCAATTTTGCACAGTGAAGGGCATATGGACGACGGGCTGACACTGTCTCGTTCTCAGAGGGAAGAATCTCATACTGCCAGACTAATACGGAGTGCTGTTCTCCTCTTCACTCGCTTTGTAAGGTACAGGATGCTGGATTAAGACCTTCAGTCATTTGTGAATAACTTAGCGATGGTTTTTTACAGCTGCAGTGCTGGCTTAATGCTAAATGTCACACTACATGTCCGACTGAGCGTGGGTTTACAGCATTAGCTTTGTAGATATGTTTATGATATATACATACAATCAGAAGACCAGTGATGTTATTGTCTTGGCATTGTGGCTCTGATAGGACCTCCCCGCCCTCGTTTATGCGCACATGAAAAGCTGGAGGTGGGAAGAGCAGCAGCAAGATCCTCCAGAACTAAACAAAGCAGTCAACTCAGATACAGCGTCAAGGAAGGAGCTGGGCAGATTCAAGAAGCTTAAATAGCATGCCCTCTATGACACAACAAGTTAGCTGTGTAGATGGGTATCAGCTGATGTGGGCTGACACTGAGATCAGATGATCTGCAATGATTGCAGCTAAGCTTGACTTTGTGGGCTGCTGGAACTAATGCAAACGCTCTGTTTTTTACCTTATCTGATAATTTTGAATTGCCATGTCATAATTACAAGAAATCTGGAGGATGAGAATACTTGGGGCTCAGATACTGTCTGTCTGTCTCACATTTGGCTTTTTAAATTTTGAGTCTTTTATTTGTAAAAAATAAAATAAATTCATAGGCTAGTATAACACCTTCTGTCTTTACGCCATCAATCGAGAATAAAACAAGTTTGGCTGGTGATAGTAGCAGCAATTATAATACAAGACAATTTGGCAGACTTGTAGGTAGAGTCTAAAAACAAACTTTTTTTTTTCTTTAGGAAACTTGATGGTTTTAACCAAGAGATAAATATCCCCTCTGTCAGCCTGCCAGTGGAGACAGTGACACGCAGTCTGCAGGATCTGATCATCTATTTCAAGCCTCCACTGGAGGGGCTAGGCCATGAAGCTAAACAGAACAGCATGGCGGCGCTAAAGAATCGACAGAACATGTTTCAAAAAGAGGTAAATCGATAAGTGTGAATGAGTCCTACATGTGCTATGCCTCACGCTTCCCTAACTGTGCCTCCCTTTCTTCTCAGGGTGTGATAGATTTGGTCTTAGATTGTATTGACCGTCTACACCAGTATAGTAGTGCTTCTCATTTTGCTGAGGCTGTTCAGAGTGACACAGGAGAGGAGTGGGAAACCATCGTCAACCATTTCTATGAGCTGTTGGGTGAGAGCCGTATAGATGGCACCATACTTATTTTTTGAAGATACCACAAATATCTCCTAATCTGTTAAGGTTCCTCTTATTATCTTATCATCTGTTAATATTTTTGTTAATATTTTTTGTTTTTTTTGTTTTTTTCCTCTTAAGCTGCTCTGCTCCGGGGAAACCGTGCAAATTGTGCTAATTTCTCGGGTTCGCTGGACTGGCTGATTAGCAGGCTAGAACGGCAGGAGGCCTCTTCTGGTTGGTTGGATTTGCTTTATGTTTTCTTCATCAGCCATTGTGGATTGAAATTTTACAGTATATATTTATATTATATTTGACATTGGTTATCGTGTGTTGTCTGGGATTTATACCTAATAGTATAGAAGCATAGAGGTAAATGCAGGTTATCATCCACACAACAACGGGCAGTTATATTTACAGGAGTCCTGGAAGTTCTTCACTGCGTCCTTGTGGAAAGCCCTGAAGCTCTCAATGCCATCAAGGAACAACACATTCAGTCTGTCATCTCATTTCTGGACAAGCTTGGATGCAACCACAGGGTAGTGTGTAGAAGGCTTTTGTGTGTATTCAATATAAAAATAAGATTGAAGTAAAGTGCATGGATAATAAGTGATGCCGAATGGCCAGTAATTTCATTATTAAGCTTTTTGGCTACAGTGGCATGTCTGCATTAATTAAAAATAAATACAAAAAGTCCTTTGTTATTATCCTAGTTTTCTCTCAGAATTTGTCATTATGGGGCTTAAGCAAATTCCACATTTCTCACCAGTCTAGTAACATAGACATAGTGTTTCACTTTTAACAGCTATAATAACAGTTTCCAATCTGTTTCCTGATGTCTGATCATTTCCATTTGCTTATTGAGCTATTGCCACATGAAGAGCTGACAGGTTGTGTTCCAGGTGCTGGAGGTGCTTTGTTCTCTGTGTGTGTGCCATGGTGTGGCGGTGCGGTCCAATCAGAACCTCATCTGTGACAGTCTGCTGCCAGACAGAGATTTGCTACTCCAAACACGTCTCGTTAATCAAGTCACCAGGTAATTTTATAATCTGGTTTCCAAACAGGACCGCTTTTTGTTTTTGTGTTTTTGCCATTCCACTCATCCTTTTTAGTTTTCTGAATTTCTCTACATTCAGACAGAACTCTGATTTTGGATTATTGTTTTTTACTACACATAAAAATCAGATGCAAAGTAGCACAAAGAACAATATATTAAGTAGGTAGCTTTTACGGTTCTGTGCAAAAGTCTAAAGCCACCCCTCATTTCTTTATATTTTGCAATATACAGCAATTTCTCCCCAGGGTTTCCGGAGGTCTTTCAAAGTATATCTTTGGAAATTGGCTGCTTTTTCATTCATTTTCAGTCCAGTTGTTTAACCTAACCCTGCAAAAGCACCTGGATAGAAAAACCCACTGTGAAACACTTTCAATCATAGATTGGGCTCCCCAGAACCCAGACCTTAGCATTATTGAAGCAGTGAGGGATCACCTCAACAGAGAACAGAACAAAAAGCATCCAGCATCCAAAGAAGGGCTTTGAATGTCCTTTAAGAAGCCTGGAGAGCTGTTCCTGAAGACTACGTAAAGAAATTATAAGAAAGTTGCATTAAAGAGTTCAGGCTACACTGAAGAATGCTGACATTCAAGCTCGTTAGAAGTATACAAACATTTTGCCTTGCATACTTTATATCCATGTATGTTTGCAGATGTTTTAATATATCAGTGCACTTATTTTTCCATTATTTTAAAGTGAAATAAATATGAAATAATGGGAGGGTGGCCTAGAACCTTTGCACAATGCTGTATTTATGTTTGGCAAATAACTCAATAGGGGTTTCTTTCCCTGACTCTTCTCATGCTCGCACATGCATTTGTTTAGCTGAGTGTTATTTGTCAACTGTGGCGCTCCCACGGGCCTTGATATTCTTGTTTTTCATCTGTAAAGATGTCACATTCTTGATACTAGAAATATTTCAGATTTTTCTATAGCGTGACATTCGTTTTTTTTTTGTTTTTTTTCTCTTTTGGATTTAATTAAATACTTTCTTTTTTCCTCCAGTGTCATCTCTTCAATTGCTGCATCATTTTTTTAATTTTACATCTGAATAGATCGGAACAATAATGTTGATGTCAGAGCTTAGATGTCTTTGTCTCACCCTCGTCTCGTGAGAGTTTGGAAAGATTACCTTAAGCCCGAGGTGGTATGACTCAACGGAGGCATTTTTTTAGCCAGTTTCATCATAGTCCATGCTCTTCTTCTGTCTCTCAATATTTTTACCTGCTGTGCCAATCTGATCTTGTAGGCAGTTTCCATTTCCCTTTTCCTTTGAGCAAGTTTTTTTCAGCCCAATCTGCCCTTTCTCTGTAAGCAGCTGCCTTCTTTTATCATGCTTTTTTTCCCCATCAGCAGCCCATTTCATTCCTCAGGCTTTATAGCTTATTTTGTTTCATATTCTTCACACCTGCTCAGTCCATGCCCCAGCTCTCCTTTCCTCCTAAAGCAATTTCTCATTCTATCACTTCTTGTTCCAATAAATGCTTCATTAGTACATCTGCTTTCATTCTGATTTCCTTTATCTCATCAATTTTCTTTCTTCTCTCCCTCACCTACCACAGTGTGACAGTTCTTCCAGATGCTCTCTTCTTTTTACATTTTTGCCTTTAATCTATTCTTTCCATGCATTTTATCTAGCCTCAATCCAGCCTTTTATGAGTAAAACTAAAAACATGTATACTAGCTGGTATTTCAAATGCTGATTAAGTTTTTATTTACACAATAAAAGTGGCTTACTGACTTCAGTGCACTGCTTTTTTAATGGCTGGGTGCTTGGGAGTCCCATTCATAATTAAATTTCATTTGCTGGATTTACTGATTTGACATGAATCTAAATTTAAGTCCAAAGTTTAATCAGCTGAACTTTGGAGTTGTTGGAACTGCAAACCTAATTTAAAAAACAAAAAAACTTGGGACACTGTGTAAATTGTTAATGAAAACATAATGCAGTGATTTGAAATCTCAGATCAATAGAGCATGTTTTCTAGGTTCTATTTACAGTAAAACACAGGAAACATTTCAGATGTTTAAACTGGAAAAGTTTACCAGTTTTAGAAAAGTTCATTTTGAATTTGTTGGCAACACATCAACATATCAAAAAAGGATATGTTTACTACTAAGTACCGCCTTCTCTTCTTTTAACAATAGTCAATAAACATCTGAGGGGGGGCCTGAGGAGACCAGATGCTGGATATTTTGGATGAGGAATGTTGTCCCATGCTTGTTTCATGTACAATTCCAGCTGGTCAGCTGTCCTGGATAGACTTATTTTTGTTTCAACGAGGACCAAATCTCTCCAGTGATGGTGCCGTGTTGCTGCAGCATATGTAGTATGTGGCTTAGCGTTGTCTTGCTGAAATATCCACGTCACAATTATGCCTGTTATAGTGCAATGCAGCTGAAGAGCACAGCCATCCAATGTTGAATTTTCGCTTTGTTCTTTGTGCTTAGAGAGTCTTTTGATAATGTTATGTACTGTAGATGATGGGATATTCTAAATCTTCACAATTTTATTTTGAAGAACATTATTCTGAAATTGTTCCAGAATTTGTAGATACAATTTTTGGGTACTGAGAAACTGATGCTCTTTTTATGCCCACTCGTTTTACTTACCTGTTTCCAACAAACTTAATTAGTTGCAAAATATTACTTCAGCTGTTTCTTTTAAGTCTTGTTTACTTTTCCAGCCTTTTGTTGTCCCATACCAACCTTTCTGACATGTTTTGCTGCCATCAAATTCAAAATGAGCTAATATTTTTCATGAAATAGTAAAATGTCTCAGTTTAAACATTGGTTTCCCATGCTCTATAGTGAATAAAATCTGGGTTTATGACACATGCATATCGTTGCATCCTATTTTTACTTACATTTCACACAGTGTTTTATGTCATAAACAATTTCTGGCTGAGAGCACACAGCAACGTTATGCTGAAGTCTGTGGACACAAACTTAACGTTCACAAAGTTGGACTCTCTCCAAGTTAACTTGTAATTACAGACTATCAGCAGCACTTAAAAGTAAAAGTCCACTACCTGAATGTTTCAAACACTGAGCTTTGCTAATTAAGAGTGTCACAGCTTAAAAATGAGTTGTATGGGTGCACCATGTATCTAATTAAGTTGTCATATCAACGCAGAATGAATTTCACTTTTATTTGCGAGCAGACTACTCATATGCATTGTAAATTATTTCAAAATTAATTTATGATCACACCAAATACACTAAAATCTTAAAAGATGAGTTGACTGAAATTTCTCTGTCTTTTTTTGCCTTTTTTGCCACATTTCTCTGCATATTACAACAACAGCATGAGGCCAAACATCTTCCTAGCTATGGGAGAAGATTCATCCCAGTATCGCAGGTGGTACTACGAGCTGGTTGTGGATCACGTCAAACCCTTTCTCACATCTGAGCCCACACACCTGCGTGTCGGCTGGGCTTGCATGAAAGGCTACCAGCCCAGGCCGACAGGCGGCGAGGGCTGGGGGGGGAATGGAGTGGGAGATGACCTCTGCTCGTATGGCTTTGATGGACTTCACCTCTGGTCAGGTGAGGATGAGCTCAAACGGCTGATAAACAGCTTGGTCTGTTTAACATTATTGTATAACACTGATCACAAGAGTTTACAGGACGAGTAAACTCCACATACTCCAAAGACAAATATCAGAGTCTGTAGCTGTTACAAACATGATAACAAGTCAGTTTGAAAAACTTAGCACATTACTTTAGTGCCACAAAAGCTACACATGGGAGGATTACCATGGCAATTAAAGCACAAAATGCATTATAATAGATCATTTTTAATTTCCTTGTTCAGAATAATTGAAATGTCTGTAGTTAGTGCAATAAAAGCTGTGACTGCAATTGCTGAGCATCACTTAATTATCCACAGAGAACAATTAACATATTACTTTTTTCTTTTATGTTTAACGTGGACAGAAAAGAGAGAGAGCAGTGGAGGCAATTACAATCTCAGTTTTCAGTAGTGATGATTGCACTTCATCAAAAAAATAAAAACAAAAAACAAACCTCTGTATTTTGATAAAGATTTGCTTGTGCAACACAGACATCTCGTGTAAAACATGAAACGTGTCAACATTTTCTGGCTCGTTGCACTTTATTCTTATTTAGTGTGGACAGCAGTAGATTATCATTGATGTTTCTAATTATCAGGAATGGCTTTGCTGTGAGGCGTGTTCCTAAAGTGCCTTAATCTTTACAATATGTTTTACATTTATGAATGCTATAAAACATTCATTTGATTTGACTTTAGTTGTAGTGTTTCCATTTAATAAAGCACAAAGCACTTGAATTCCCATTTTAAGTTGTACAGAAACATTAAAAATGTAAATATGAAGACTAATGAGTGTGTCTCCTGAATCTTAGGCTGCGTGAGCCGGAAAGTCAGCTCCCCGTTCCCTAACCTACTAAAAGATGATGATGTCGTTAGCTGCTGCCTTGACCTCAGCATTCCCTGCATCTCATTCCGGGTCAATGGTCTACCTGTGCAGGGCATGTTTGAGAACTTCAATGCTAATGGACTTCTTTATCCTGTGGTCAGCTTCTCTGCTGGAGTCAAGTTAGTATCAATACTATTATTGTTTTTTTGGGTTGTTTTTTTTTTATGTTTTTTTTTTTTTCAAGAAATCCACAAAACAATAAATTTTCTCTTCCTCTTTTCTTTGAAAACAAAACAAGAGTTCGTTTTCTGTTTGGGGGAAGGCATGGAGAGTTTCGCTTCCTGCCACCTCCAGGTTATGCTTCTTGCTCTGAAGCTCTTCTCCCAAAAGTCAGACTGAAGGTACAGCTGTGTCAGGAATACATTTTGGATCATGGTGAAGGGAAACAAGAGCTTATTGGCCCCTTAGTGCCTGTCACTCCAGTTACCTTCACTCCGACAACAATAGACATCAGCAAGGTAAATCTTGTTTTACAAAGATGAAATGTTTGTATACTTAAAGTCTTTATAACTAATTTGTAGAGAATCATTTGCTCAGAGAAATGACACCATCTCAGAGTAGTTTAGCTACTTATGCAGTACTTTTACCCTACAGGTGGTATTGCCTCCACAACTTGAGGACATTCGAGAAAAAATGGCTGAGAATATCCACGAGCTCTGGGTAATGGACAAGATTGATCTCGGATGGACACATGGACCAGTAAGAAAAGACACAAAATGTATAATTTTATAAAATTGCATAACTGATATGCAGTATTGTATAAAAGTCTTGATCCACCCCTCATTTCATCATATATTTAAAGAGGAAAAGGAAAAATAAATGCACTGATTTATTGAAACATACAGATATCCATGGAGTGAAGTATGTAAGGCAAACAGAGTAAGTTTTAATAAACTTGAAAATCAGTATTTGGTGTGACGACCTTTATTCTTCAACACAGCCTAAATTCTGTTTGGCAAGCTCTCTTGTAATTACTTTAAGTAGTCTTTAGGAAAAGTTATCCAGGCTTCTTGAAGGACATTCAACGCTCTACTTTGGATGTTGGCTGCCTTTTGTTCCTTTCTCGGCTATGATTATTGATGCCGGATGCCTAGGCTCCTGGGAGGCCAGTCCATGACTGCACTGGGAGTGTGTTTGGCATCACTGTCATGCTGAAAGATGGTATTGTATGGTGGATCAAAACCTGATGGCACTCATCTGCGTTCATAATTCCATCAGTTTTCACAAGATCCCGAACACCACTAGCTGAAATGCAGACCCAAAATGTAACAGTTTCACACTTACTGTTGTACCTTCTCCATATATACACTGATGATTATTTGAACCAAATAGCAAACGAAACAAACGAAACACAAGGAGCCAGAAACCAAAACACAGGGAACAAAAGTCCAAAACATAACAAAACAACAGCACTGACCGCGAAGCCAGCGACCGTGACGGAGCAAGTCCGGAGGCCGGCCGCGCGGAAGGCAGCACACCCTGGAAGGCAGCATAGAACGACACCGTTAAGGAGGGCATCCACGATGCTGGGTCCATGTTCTGATCGCGATCTTCTGTTATGGCAGGGCTGTGTGCATGCAGGAGTGGTGGCATCCTAACAAAATTTGGATTCATTACTCCATAAAACCTGCTGTCAGTGATTTTCTGTCCATTTCTTGTGCAATTTGGCATTCCTCGGGCTTTTCCCCACATTTTCCTTCCTTAACAATAGCTTCTTGACAGCTGCTGAGAGCATTTCTGATGAGGCTTCAGCAAACAGCAGATGGATCACCTGAAGGACATGACATCTTCTGTAGATTTTTTTTTTTTTAAGCTTGCCAATCTTTCTTGACCCTTCACTTGTCCAGTTTCCTCAATTTATGGGCACATTGCACATCATGCCTAGATATGCCAAATTTTCAACTAATAGCTCTTTAGGAATCATCTTGTTGGTGCAGAAAATACTATTTTATACCTGTCAGCCTGTGTTATCTTTGGCATTTGTCAGCTAAAGAAATCTGAGCAAATGATGTGTTTTTGTGACCGGCTGCTAGTAACAAAGTATCTAAAATTACAATTAAAAATTGCTCAGCTTTCTGTTATGTGTTGCCACAACACTGGTTTATCGTTTGAGTTTGGTGCTTTCTTATGGTTGAATAAATCATCGGTCAGTTTGAAGTGTCTTAAACAAGCAAGCAAAAAAAGAACATTTCTGTTAAAATGGTCAGGTACAAAGACTGTAATGCTGTTAGCTAATTTGTTTCCAAAGAAAGACTCCTTTGTAGCAAAACGTAAGGAAATGAGTCTCAATGACACTCTAATGAATCATCATTACGATTACTTTTTAAGAAATCCACATGGTTTTTGCTTGCCTTGCAAAATAACGTCTCTCTCAAACAGGTGAGGGATGAAGGTAAGAGACATGATCCTTGTCTGGTGGAGTTCTCCAAGTTGCCAGAGCATGAGAGAAACCAGAACCTTCAGATGGCACAGGACACACTCAGGTGAGCTCTGTTCTGTTTCATACAATAATAATAATAATAATGATGCAGCACGGTGGTTAGCACTGTTGCCGCACAGCAAGAAGCTCCTGAGTTCAATTCCACCGTCAGGCCATGGTCTTTCTGTGTGGAGTTTGCATGTTCTCCCTGTGTTTGCGTGGGTTCCCTCCAGGTACTCTGGCTTCGTCCCACCATCCAAAGACGTCCAGTTTGTGGGGATAGGTTAATCGATTAATCCAAATTGCCACTAGGTGTGAATGCGGGAGTGAATGTGAGCGCGAATGGTTGTCTGTCTCTGTGTGTTAGCCCTGTGACAGACTGGCGACCGGTCCAGGGTCTACCCCGCCTTTCGCCCTATGACAGCTGGGATAGGCTCCAGCACCCCCCGCGACCCTGAAAAGGATAAGCGGAAGCGAATGGATGGATGATAATAATAATAATAATAAAAACCCAGTGTGCTTGATTATTATTTTCATTTATTTTTTATTTATTTATTGGAACGATTTTTATTTTAAAAAAAAGATTGTGACAGACCTTGTGCTTTTCAGATCTAATATTTAGTAATTAGTAAGTAGTGTCTGCTGCAGTAGTGAATTTTCAAAGTTTTATTCTTCATTGGAGGACCCTGCTGGCACTTGGTTTCCACATCGGATTGATGGATGATCATGCTGAGAAACACATGAAATACATGAGACTTCCTGTCAAGTAAGTGAAAATCCACTAAAAAAAACCAAAAATCCACTATGCAAGATTTATGCATATATCCTTTTTCTTATCTGCTTATCCAGTTTAGGGTCATGGGGTTGCTGGAGCCTATCCAAGCATAATGTAATATCATGTTTGATTTAATTTAGTCTGGTTCAGCTGTGAGTTGCATCATGTCTAAATTAAAGTAGCAGAAAAAGATAAGGACCATCTTATGGTGGTAATGGTAACTCATTTTATGAGGCTACAATAAAGAGAGGATACACAACTGCAGTTCATATTCATTTGATCTCGTATGCTTGCACTAGGAGAACATCTCACTTCAATTTCAACACTCTTCTTTGAGCCATCCTTGCAAACAAATTCTTTTTAAAACTTACAGCTCATGTCAAAGAATAGTTTAACTGCGATAAAACAGTACAACAGCACAATGAACATCACAAACCACCGCCTACTGAACACACTCTTTTCAAACGCTAACTCAAGATGTTTGAAGTGTGTATTTTTCCTTTGCAGCCTTTAGTCATATGTTGGCTCCTTTAAATTCTCTGAGAATTTTTCTTCCCCCACTTTTTAAATGCAATTTTGTTTATTTATTTATTATTTATATTTCTTTAACGTTTATTGATGTTCTGCTTTATTTGTTTCGTGCGGTTCAAGCAGGGTGTAGGCCAGGAGGGAAAAAGTGAGCATTTTGTTTACTCAAGGCAGTGGAAAGTATTTTATACAGGAATGATACAAAAATACTGTTTAACATTCAGGAACTGTAACTGTGATCCTGTCACATCTCTGTCTTTTTTGCTTTGTTTTCTGTCTTAGGTATGAGCAGATGACTGGCTACAGGCCTGCTCCAGTAGACCTGAGCCAGGTGTCTCTGAGCTCAGACCACGAGGAAGCAGTTAACTTGCTGGCGGAGAATGAACACAACGTATGGGCCAGAGAGCGAATCAAACAGGGATGGACTTATGGAGCGCAACAGGTTTATGTTCTGTGCTGGATTACTTCAGTTTGTTTCATCTTACACAAAAGTACTTTTTCCAGAGTGTTAAAATAGTTATAATATACTTTATCTAGATATTCACATAGTAGCAAAAGGTTATACCATGAGATAATTGTATAGCGTCAAACATAGTTGCCCTTCTTGCTCCTTGCGTCTGTACTTTTAGGATATAAAAGCAAAGCAGAGCCCTTACCTTCTGCCCTACAGCCTTCTTGATGAAAGAACTCGGAGAGTGGGAAGAGAGAGTGTCAGAGAGGCTGTCTGTACCCTGCTGGCATACGGCTACAGCCTGGAGCCCCTAAACCAGGAACACAGTATGTTTCAAAGATCTGTTATAAAACTGTAGCTTAGTGCACATCATATGTAAGGTAATCAGTGTAAGTTCAACTGCGATATATTAACAAAGTAGTAAACAAAGGTTTATTTGTATATTAATCATACTGCAGTATTTGTCACCATTGTTTTCCCAGAGGGATTTTGTTCTACAACGCTTTTCCCAAAAACGAGAAATGTAAATAGAAAATGTAAATAAACCTAGATTGCTAGGATTTGCAAATAATCTTTAGCACATATTTATGTAGAAAATAATCTAATGAATGTTAAACATGACAAATATATTTTTATTACATGTTTATTTATTTAGACATATGTGTAGATGTAGGGTTTTGATGATTAGTGGGGATTTTCTGCTGTCTCTTACATTGTATCCAGCATTCCAACTTTTTTGGAAATACGTTTATGGCAAATAACGATATGTTTCCTGTTTCTTGGCTTTACAGCTACATTATCAAAGCCATGTTTCTTCTCTGCTGAGAAATGCAGAGTGTTCAGACCAGATAAATCATATGCTGTGACTCAGGGGAAGTGGTATTTTGAATATGAAATACTGACAGCAGGGAATATGAGAGTGGGCTGGGCCCGACCAGGCTGTACCCCAGATAAAGAGCTTGGCTCAGATGACCAAGCATATGTCTTTGATGGATTTGAGGTGAGATATAATTAAATTTGACATTTCTTACTTTGGCTACTGACCATTACAGTAGCTGAATGGGAATCGGCCCAAATTATAATGGCTTTGTTAATGCATATTTATTTATTTTCATCTTTTTTGAATTTACTTAACTAATGAACTTTAATTAACTGTTTTTTCTTGCTATATAACTATAACTGAGACTAGGTGACGTTTTAGAGAGCAGACAGAAGGAGATATGTAGGCACAGACAAGTATCTATTGAAAGAAACTGAAACATTAGTTACTTTTTTTGGACCTTCTAATGTCTGCATATTGTGTCACGTTAGTTGCATATCCTTGCAGTGACTCCTGACCTCATATTGTTGGTTGACCAACACAGAAGGTCTCAGTTACTCCAAAGCTGTGTTGATATGATTAATTAAGATCAAACAGTTCCAATTTTTAGTGATTTGTTTTCCATACGTATCATATTTTGGTACTAACATGTGGTATATGGATTATTAAAAAATTGTAGAGTTTTTAGATAACTCTTCAAATAGATAGCAGTAACCTCATGCAAAATATACTTTATGACTTGTCTTGTATTGGCTCTTCTGGGTTGTTTTTTTTTTTGCCTTTGGCTTTTTGCACTTGTCTCTTTCCTTCTAACTCAATGTTGCTTTCAGGCTCAGTGGTACCATCAGGGCGGCGAGCCCCTGGGACGTCCATGGCTGAGAGGTGATGTGGTGGGTTGCTTGGTGGACATGGATGAATGCACCATGATGGTTACGCTCAATGGAGAGCTGCTGTTTAATGACAGAGGATCAGAGCTGACTGCCAAGGACTTTGGTATTAGAGATGGTCTGTAAAAGTTTTTGGCTTTATACTTTCTGCTGCATTTTGATGTTTCTAATATAGCTTTACTATACCTTTATTTAAAAGTCTAATATTGGGAAACTATATTGCCACTTCCCGTGTCTTCCAGGCCTATTACCTGTGGTTAGTGTTGGGGTGAACCAGGTGGGGAGGCTGAATCTGGGACGCCAAGTAGGCTCTTTGCAATACTTTACTGTGTGTGGCCTGCAGGAGGGGTATAGACCTTTTGCCATCAACATGGCCAGAGACCCAGCTCTGTGGATGAGTTGGAAACAGCCGCAGTTTACCTCCATACTACCTGATGATCACTATTTACAGGTAAACTTACCATATATACAAGGTTTCCTTCACCCATCTACAGACCTTGATGACCTAGAGTTGCTAGTAGCGGTGATCAGTTAACACTGATCCTGAAAACCTTGCTCAAATCTTTTTCAAGGTTACAAGAGTCAGTGGCTCAGCAGATTCCTTATCCAGCCTGAGGGTCTCCCAGTGTATGCAACCGCACCATGGTGGAGAAAGTGAGATGGGCTATTATCGCCTCAGCATGTCTGTCGGATGTGCTGCTGTCCTCAGAAGCCCACCAGGGGGCGTGCTTCCTGTGGCCTCCAGTGCTCTCTCTCCAAGCTCAGGTTTATTGATGTTATATACAGTATGTTCAAGTTTGAAATCTTTTTTTGAGAACATGTTACATCGGACCACATTAAAGCTCTGTTTAGTTTGACATAATTTCAACAAGCAAATATCTCTAGACCTGAATCAAGATCTGTTGTTATTATTATTAGGCTACTGGGAGAAACAGTTAGTGTGGGTGACTTGCATAGCTGCAGCTATCCAGATTATCCACTGTCTATGCTATTGATATTCTGCCATTATGACCTTGATGAGCCTGCTTAAGCTCCCAGGGGCCCTGCTGTAATTAATGCCTGTTGTCCTTTTAGAAAGGAAAGAGCAGGAGGAGGTGGACTCTGACTTTGAGGTGCTGATGAAGTCAGCCCACAGCTATGCTGGTTCAAGAGATGAGCTCAACTATAAAGATCATAGTAACGACAAAACATCAAGACTGAAACAGCGGTAGGTGGTAGAGAAAGGAAAATGAAGAAAGTATGGAATGAGGGTCCATCTCCTTTAAAATTGAATGCAAAATAACACAATAACTGTGCTTTGCTGAAATTAATGTGCGTTTCTTTGTCTGTAAGGTTTATGCTGAAGAAGACCAAACCAGGCTTAGTCAGCAGTAACTCATCTGCACGGCTCCTCGAAGACGTTGTAGTCGACAAGGATAACTATGATCACCTTATCCAGAGCTCCAGAGTAAGGCTTTATCTTCTCGTCATCATGTGAAAATACACAATACAAAACTAATTGTAATGCAGTGTGCTTCACTTCATTGCCAGCACGTATAATTACCTGCCGCAATAAAACTGTTGAATGCAAGATGCAAATACCAAACAGTGACACCAACTAACCTTTCTGTTTCAGTATTACTACTCAGTGCGGGTTCTTCCAGGCCAGGAGCCATTCAATGTGTGGGTAGGCTGGGTGACCTCTGACTTTCATCAGCATGACATGACATTTAACACTGACAATGTCCACACTGTGACTGTCACCCTTGGAGATGACAGTGGCAAAGTCCAGGAAAGGTTGGTGAACAACAAAACAGTTTTATTTAGTATTTCAGGTGACTGTATCAAGAATTTTGAATTTTGATTGAATAGAGTTGTTGTTTTTTTTATAATTATCCTTCATCTGCTGTAATTACTATATTTACTGCAGAGGTGTTATATTGCAGTGTGCTGTAAATTTCCATTAAACAGACAATACCCCTCTGTCTACATAGTGTAAAGCGGTCTAACTGCTATATGGTTTGTGCTGGAGAGGCAACAGGCCTGTCTCAGAGTCGGAGAAGCACAGGATTGGAAATTGGCTGTTTGATTGACACAACCACTGGTCTGCTTACATTTACCTCCAGTGGAGTGGAGATGGCCACTTTCTACCAAGTAGGTCACACAACAAACTGGGGTTTTTTTTTAATGTATTTTTTACTTTAATAAATGTAAGTTTTATACATTATGTCTCATACTGTTCGATATAACGATATACATCGGATGACGATATAAAAACGTCTATCATTTCATATTACTTTATAGTTTGTTTCGTGATTTCGCAAAATAACCTGTTTACGGCAACATTTTTTCATCATTTTGATGGTCACTGTAATTTCTTAAAGTTCTCTCTTTCTCTTATGATTAAAATAAGCACACTACGGACGGACAAGCGACTGTTTTTATGCGTTGTCGTTAGCAACAACGACGGTAAAACCATCGCGTGGCTCCGCCGTCTGCTTGTTTATTTTCCACATAAACCTTTCACAATAAAGCTGAAGATCCTGTTGAGATTTTTCAAAATAAACTGAATCACGTGAAAGAGTACGCAGAATGTTTACAGATGAGAAGCAAAAAAGAGCCGACAGGTGATAAAAAATAAACCTTAGACTCAAACGTTAGAAAAGGCTTTTCCCTGCAGCACGCCGTGTAAATACTCACAAAGAAAATGTCTAAAAATGTAGTTTCATGCATTGGTCAAAACACTTGACTCCAGGTACACGACTAGCTAGAAAAAAAGACTTCACGCATATCGAGTTGCCCGAGATTTACAGAATTTACAGAAAATGTAACATTTTTGTGATATATATATATATCGTTGTCGGGACATGAGATTTTGGTCATATCGCACAGCCCTACTATGTATGTAACACTTGGGACTGAACTTGCCCATATGGAAAAGAAATAGTAAAAACATATATGATTTACTCATGAAAGTGGCCACTTTCTCATTACTTTCATATATTTTTTTTAGTAAGCATCCAAAACATACAAGTTTCATTATATAATCCTTCAAGGGATCTTATATGTGTTTTAACTCTTGTATGCTTTTCATACAAGTTTCACACAAGACAGATACAAACTTTATAAGATTTATATATATCTTTTCCATATGGGTGGGGCTGCTAATGTTATAATGTCAGTAACAGGCAAGTTGTTGGACTGCATTATTAAACTGAGCATAAACTGTTTCCCTGCAAATCAGGTGGAGGCAAGTACAAAGCTCTTTCCTGCTGTTTTTGTCAAACCCACCACCAAAAACATGTTTCAGTTTGAACTGGGACGCATCAAGGTAATTCATTTTTCATTATTAAACCTGGCTAAGATACTTTTTATTTTTTAAGCAGGTTTTGCTTATTTTGTGGACAAATTTGAAGAGTAATAAATTACAACGCAAGATGTTAGCCTGAACTTCAGTTTGTTTTTCATACCATCCTAAAAGTATCATGTATGACATAATTTCCTGTATTTGTCTTCTTCTCGAATCCAGAATGTGATGCCACTGTCCTCAGGTTTGCTTCGGAGCCAGTCAAGGAATGTCACTCCTCAGTGTCCTCCTAGGGTTCAGGTCCAGTGGCTGAGGCCTGCTTCATGGACTAGAGTACCAGACAGAGCACTGAAAGTGTTGGTTGATCGACCAGATGAATGTCACGGCTGGAGAATTCAATGCCGTGAGCCCTTACAAGCCATGATCCTTCACATTCCTGATGAAAACAGGTTAAGAAGACAGGATTTGATCTTTTACAGATTTAAGAACAAAGAAATATTTTCAGGAAAATAAAGAAATTTTGTTCCAAATGTTGTTGGTGCAAAAACTTTAATTAGATTTAGGGTTAATAACAGTGAAGTTGCATTTGCTTTTTGATGCTATTCATGTAGGTGTGTTGACATTTTGGAACTGTCGGAGCTTGATGACCTCTTGACCTTTCACAACAATACCCTCCTGCTCTACTGCTCTTTATGTGCTCTTGGCAACACCAGAGTTTGCCATGCCCTCTGCAGTCATGTGGACCAGTCGCAGATTCTTTATGCTATTCAGGATCCCTACCTCCCTGGCCTGCTCCGGTCTGCATTTTATCAGCTGCTTTTTCAGGTGACTACTTGTTGGAGGTTAGATAACATTAACTGACAAAAGAATAAGTACGTCCTGGTCTTTGGAGAATATCTGAATACATTTTATTGTTTTTGTCCTCAAGGTTTTCCTCAGCAGCTACACCACAGCCTGTCTTATGATGAACCATGAATACATAGTTCCTATGACTGACCAAACCAGAGAAATCACCCTTTATCCCAGTCCTATTAATGGTGGGGATAGACAACCTCCAGAGGGAATACCAAGTGCTAGCTGTAGCACATCCCTTAAACCTCAGATGCATTTTTCAACTCCTTGCTTTATCAGAAGCGATTGCATAGAAGGAGCTAGTGCACTGGAAATAGCCTGCAAAGACAGCCCAGAAATCCCTCTGGACGTTTTAAAGAATCTTACCGTGGAGATGCTGACTGCTGCAGTTTGGGCTGTGGGTCAGGATGTAAGGGATCCTGCAGGAGGCAATTTCGAACTTTTGCTTGTTCCTTTATTAAGACTTTTCTACAGCCTCTTGGTTATGGGGGTGTGTAGGGATGAAGACTTAGGGAAGATTCTTAGACTCATGGAGCAAGGTGCATTTGCAAGGCCTGGAACACCCATAGGGAAGTTGGAAGAAGAAACTAGTGATGATGAAGAAGAGCAGAAAGGAGTGATCACTGAAGAAAGTTACACTGTTAAACAAGGACTTCTTCAAATGAAGCTTCCAGAAGCTGTCAAACTTGAGGTAAACCAATCTGCAAAAAAACGTTTTTTTTGATAATGCTCTTTCTTCTCTGTGGGTCACTGGGGATTAACTTCATGTGCTGTGTTGTTTGAATCCTTTAAGTATGTTTAAAATTAGCCATGAAGGACTGCTTTATTTCTTTTTCTAGCTCTGCCACTTGCTATCCTACCTGTGTGACTGCCAGGTTCGCCACAGGGTAGAAGCTGTGATTGCTTTCTCCAACAGCTTTGTTGGCCAGCTGCAGGAGAACCAGCGGTTTCGCTACAACCAGGTCATGCAGGCGCTCAACATGTCTGCTGCCCTCACTGCTCGCAAGACAAAGGAGTTCCGGTTACCACCACAGGAGCAGGTTGCACGATATGAATACTAACTAAAAGGATAAAGTTATAGCATTTGTTTTGCATTGGTTTATGCAATGTAGCTGTAACTCTGAAGAAAGCATGTAACACACACTTGCTGATTGTCTATACATATTGTAATCTCTCACCTGACTACAGATCAATATGCTGCTGACCTTCAGAGAAGATGCGCAGCAGGAGAACTCTCCGTGTCCAGTGGAAATCCAGGAGCTTCTTCAAGACTTCCATCACCTTCTCGAGACACACTGTGGTTGGAACACAGCTTATCTTTGACTGATTGAATTTTTATTGAGCTAGGGAATTATAAAAAAGCTCCAAGAAAGCACTGAGGAAATCCCATTTTATGCTGTTGTCATTCTACAGGCATTGATTTGGCCAGCACCTCAGAGGATGAAGAGGATGCAGAGATGTCTCTAAAAGAACGACTTCTCTGTCTTGTGGCGAGAGTCTTTGGCAGTAATAAGTCATCAATGGATATAGACGGGTGTTCTTCACATAGCCCCAGTGAATACAAGTTGTTTTTTCTTACTTTGCACATTTTGCTCTCCTGTTGCATTTTATCACCTTTATAAGTCATTTTATTTAACTGCACCTGTGATCACGCAGCATGTTTTTGGTTACTAACAAACCATGCAAACATAATGTTGGTGAAGGAGATGTTATATTAGAACATGCCTAGTTTTGATGTCATTACGCATAGAATGAATGTGTTGCATATAACTTAAGTGATAAGTAACTTATTGCTCGGTTGCTTCCTGGAGAAAGTAATTTGACACATAACTTAAATTACACCTGTTTTACCCTGTAATGTGGCGTGTTTATGGCATTGTCACATAATTACCATTTAACTATATAAACCTCGAGTGTTTATGATGTTTAAGTATGAATACATACAGTAGCTGATAGCAAAGTTGAAAACCAGCTTCGTAAGACCTCTTCATAATCATCATCACAGCAATCTGGAAATATCTATCGTGTTTTCTACCACAATGTTGTCAGTTCTAGTTGAATTAAATAGAAAGGGTAGCTTGCCACCAAGAAAGGCACTTTCTAGGTCTATAGCACACCCAGTTTAAACACAATAGAGAAAAAAAACTAACCTGAAGAAAGTCACGAAAAACTATTATAAGCTGTTGATTGAGTCATTGATTGATGTTAGACTACGTTAAGTCTCAAAGCAAAGTTTACATCAAATAGGGTTTGTCTCTACAAACTGTCAAACATCAAAGTAAAGGAAGGTTCATAAGTTTGACCATTTGGCTTGTAATTTAACATAAGCTGCATCAGAAAGGCCATTAACCATTACCACAACCACAAAATCTTAGAGATTAAACTGCTTCATTCATAATGCTGCCCAGTAACAGAATAGCCATTGGTAGCAGGAGGTAAACAGGCTCAAAGGAATTAAGCCAGGGAGACAGGAAGAGACCCTATGATGTGGAAACTTGAACCCTGGGAGCAGTCTGGTTTTAGCAGATTTTAAATTGGTTACAAACATTCCCAGCTAGAAATAAAGCCTACAGTTCTACAACGCTGACCGTTCATCGCTGCTTTTGTTTAGATCAAGCTCTGGATGTTTGGCTGAGGCTGGTTTGCACTCTGCCTAAACATGAGTCTGGGTTCTGCTCTAGCTTTGTGTTATCTTTGCAGATGCTTGCAAAGAATTGTGTTATCAGCAGGTGTTTATAACCGAGATACAGTTTGCACTTTACCCACGGGTTTTTGTCCTTTAGTGCACAACAAATGAAAGAAGTGTTCATTTTTCCACTTCTAATAAGCTGTAGACTGCGCCACTGCTTTTCTCTCCTGCACGTGAACTGAAGTCCCCTGATTGCAGTGCAAGCGTGTCTGTCCACTATGCATATAACTGATGAATCTTTAGAACTCAAGTAAAAACATGACAAAACATGACAAAGTAAAAATATCACAGTACCCCAACACTGGCAATGCAATATTTACTGTAAGTGACATAATAACAAATTTGTTATTACCTAATAAATGACATTTCCAATGTGTTGCTATATCACACACATCAATTAATCAATTTGTCATTTAAACACAGATAATAGGATTTCGAGCCTGTCCTTTTATCTCTGCTTCTCACCTGGTGTTACTCTTTCAGAGTCCCTCAAAAAGATGATCTCTGAAACAATGGTGCGCTGGGCTCAAGAAAGTGAGATTGAGGACCCTGAACTAGTCAGTGCTATCTTCTCATTGCTGCACCGCCAGTATCAGGGCCTCAGGGGCCTAATGGAAGGACCCTTATTCAAAGCTTATACCATCAAGCAGTCGTCACTGGAGGACACCATGGCACTCTTGTCCTCCTTGGGACAAATCCGCTCCCTCCTCAGTGTTCGCATGGGGAAAGAGGAAGAGAGGTTGATGATCAGACGACTAGGGTAAGAATGATTAGTTGCTCTTGTATAATTTATTAGTGTCCAAGTTTCCATTACCATGTGGTGCCACAAGTTTTCTTACATTTTTGGTAACATCTACAGAGATATCATGAATAATAAAGTTTTCTACCAACATCCAAACCTAATGAGGGCATTGTCGATGCATGAGACTGTGATGGAGGTGATGGTCAATGTTCTTGGAGAAGGGCAAATAAAGGTGAGGAAATAGCTCAAATGTATAGAAATAATGAAATCAAAGTTTAGATGTTTATTTTTAGTTTAAAGGTTGGAGTTCAAATTAATTTCTCTTGTGGCTAATTTGCATGATTCAGTCTAATCACTCAGCGTCTGCCCCTTTACAGTTTGCTTTCTCTGTGTGCTTGTTTTAATTTACTATTTCTAGGAGATTACCTTTCCTAAGATGGTTGCCAGCTGCTGTCGATTCCTGTGCTATTTTTGCCGTATCAGCCGACACAATCAGGGAGCCTTGTTTGACCACCTCAGCTACTTATTGGAAAACAGCAGTGTCGGGCTAGGTAAATGTCAGTTTCTCTGCTATATAATCTCACTGGTCTTTTGTAAAGACCAAACTTGAAACATTTTTGATTGTAGTTTACTGAAAATATATAGAAGTAAACTACACCGATATACATTATTGTATTTTGCCCTTATACTAATAGCCTGGCATTATGGAGAGTTTGAGCCCATGTTTCAGTTGTTTTATGTTTTTTTGTTTTTGCAAAGCTTCACCGTCCATGCGTGGATCCACTCCTCTGGATGTGGCTGCAGCTTCAGTTATGGATAATAATGAATTGGCCTTAGCACTGAGGGAATCAGACCTGGAGAAGGTAACTCTGTATTGACCAGAAATGTTACAGTCCATTAGTCATTCTGTAGACAGTATACTGGCTTCCTTCATGTCAATAATAATGTATAATTAATAAATATGATTCACGGTGCAAGGGAAATGCAGCAGTATATATAGACAGTGGAGCTTAAATATAATATGTATATATTTATAATATTAAAGTTTAGTTTCTAAGAAAGCTATAATGTTAAGAAAGAGATTCAGCTTGAGCAAATAAGTACTTATTGCTGATAAATCTTATCTTTTTTCCAGGTGGTTCAGTGCCTTGCTGGCTGTGGTCTCCAGAGCTGTCCAATGCTAGTGGCAAAAGGTTATTGCGATATAGGGTGGAACCCTGTGGAGGGCGAGCGTTATCTGGATTTTCTACGTTTTGCTGTCTTCTGCAATGGTAAATTAAAGATTTAAGTTTTCATTTTTAGTATATTTGTTCATACTGTATTTTTTTTTTAAATATGAAAACATGGACTAAAGGGTCACCCTGATATTTGCAACAAAGTTACACGTGAGTCGTTACATACATTTGGCTGGCTCGATTATGGTATTTGATCTGTCACACGAAAATTTTTAGCTTGCCAATTTAATAAAAAAAGTGCAAGCTTAATTAATACTAATAGAGTATACTGTATAATATACATTTAATTCTTATATACATTTCATTTGCAGAGCATGCAGGTCATTTATTGCTTCTGAAACTTAAAACACAGTGTTGATAGGAGCAAAATGCTAATTTAAAAAGGAACAAGAGGCTGCAACATGTCACGCTCCTAATTAAGCTGCAGTATTTGCACTAGAGGTAATTCACTCTGCTATTGATTTTCCTTAGTCTGAAGCGGTGCCCAAAAGTCATCTGTTCAAATTGCCCTTGAGGCTGTTGACAGTTCAGCCAAATGGCAATGGCTTTCTGTAGCAAGTGCTCCTCAGTATTTACAGCTTCACCTCGTCTCTGTGCAGCACTTGAGTTGTGCAGTATATTGTTTTATATCACTCTACAGAAGATATATAAAATTTTTATCCTCTAGCTGTTTAAATTGATCAGTTTTCTTTGTGAGAGTCTTTGTTAATATATTTATTGTTATGGCAGATATTGAAGAATAAAAATCAAAGCTGTGTGTTGATTGGTCACAGGTGAGAGTGTCGAGGAGAATGCTTATGTGGTGTTGAGGCTATTGATTCGTCGACCTGAGTGTTTTGGCCCTGCGCTGCGAGGTGATGGGGGAAATGGTCTCTTAGCAGCCATGGAAGAAGCCATCAAGATCTCTGAAGACCCTTCTATGGATGGCCCTTGTACCAATTATCATTCCAACAGAGCGCTGTCAGTATCAGATATATGCAGTCACATAATTTAAAAAAAAAATATTTAAAATGGACTTAGAAATATTGTAAATCCAGAATCAGTGGAAGTAACTGTAACAAGCAACAAAAGAATCTGTACACATTAGCTTCTATCTGTAGAGGCCACCAGTAATATATGTTGATAATCCGTGATAGATAATATCAGGTCATTGCAGGCTTTTGATTGTTATGATTGTGTCCTGTAATAGAGATGTTGTCCAAGACAGCGATGATGATGTCATTCACATGGGGCACGCCATCATGACCTTCTACTCAGCTCTTATTGACTTGCTCGGTCGCTGTGCTCCGGAGATGCATGTAAGTGTTCCCTTAGCTATCATCAGCTCTTCCACATCAATATCTACTCATGTCTCAACCAATAAAGCCTAATGAAGAGAGTCTGCAAACTTCTGTTAAAAGAATAAACCTCAGACAAAAGTGTGCATTTTAGATGCTGCATTGCATTTTGCCTAATATTTATTATGTAACCCACACTTGGTTACAGGTTTTTTAATGTTTTAAAGATATTCTCAGACCTAGTTTGGACTTACTCTAATAGAGATTGTTGTCCCTTGTTGGCCAACATTCAGTATACTGCAATAAGCCATTAAAGACAGATTTACTGGTCAGGTCCTATTATTCATATTGATGATAGAGTACCCAGCCTTGATTTGGAAAACCCTCAACAGGGTGAATAAATGAAATGGTGAACATTGCATCAGATCCTCGAGCCATCAGGTTTTGAGCGTGTCTACCTGACTGAAAGTGTCTGAAAACATAGCGCTAAAGTGAACAGGTGAATTAAAAGAAGGGGACTTTTTGTGCATCAAAGGCACATTGATGTTGTTTAGATAAAGTACATTAAGATATTTAAATGCAATAATGTCAGTTTAACTGTATTTTTATATATTGACAGTGAATAACACCAGTAATTATTTTTTTTATATTAAATACATGTTAATTTTGACTGAAAGGTGAATTAAAAAATTAAATCGAAAGTAACTCACAGGACGAGTCAGTATGAGGTTAAAAAACAGGTTATCATATGTTATGACACTGAAATTTTGTAACACTTATGACCAGTTATTTTATTAATTTGTATTGTGAAAGTTGTTGTTATTATGTCTTGAATGACTATTTTATTTTTGTCCAGTTAATTCAAGGAGGCAAAGGAGAGGCAATCCGTATCAGGGCCATTCTGAGGTCTCTCATCCCTATTCAGGATCTTCAGGGAGTCATCAGCATCTCCTTTCAAATCCCTTCAGTCTCTAAAGGTTGAATAGGCCACATTGGCCAGACTTTGGCAGCTGTGGCTTTTTTCTAACTCATTAGACATTGATGCCTCACTCCACAATTGCTGTGGAAAAATAGTGGAGGTGGACGGAGGCAACTGAGGCTAAGCGCCTTATCAGATATTAGACAGTCCCAAACCATTCTTTCACACAGAGAGATGGGACCACATAGTTTTCACAGTAGATGTAAAGTACATAATATGTTAATATGATCTTGGTCATCAGATCTAATCTTGTCTTGCTTTTCCAGATGGTGCATTGGTTGAGCCTGACTTATCTACAGTGTTCTGCCCAGACCACAAAGCAGCCATGGTGCTGTTCCTGGATCGGGTTTATGGTGTTGAGAGTCAGAGTTTTCTTCTCCACCTTCTAGAAGTTGGCTTTCTGCCTGACCTTCAGGCAGCTGTCTCTCTTGACACTGTAAGCTGAGAAATATTCATTTTTGTTTTCCATTAAACTCTATAAGATCCACCACTTCTTATGTAATCTGGGGAAACTTCACACCCATAAGTTAAACCTCTTTTTTTCCCTTTGCAGGCTGACCTAGGATCCACTGATATGGCTCTGGCCCTCAATAGATACTTGTGTACTGCTGTTCTTCCCCTTCTCACAAAATATTCAGTTCTTTTCCATGATTTAGAGGACCACATCTTGCTGGTTGATTCTCTCATTCAGGCAGTCTACCGCCTCTCGAGGGCTCTTAGCTTGACCAAGGCTCAGAGAGACACTACAGAAGACTGTCTGTTGGCTTTGTGCAGGTAGGGTGTTCAGCTGGTATGAATGAAAAACAGAGGACAAGGTCAAAGAATGTGACAGTCTATATAATATGGCATTAAATGGGTGGGGTTCTCTGAATGAGAGCTATATATTTAGGGGAAGTGTTGTTCCTCCCTTGAGTATCATAATTCAATATTGCATTTTTCAGTTTTTGGGTCATTGAGGTTTATTTGCAACAGCATCCAAACTAGATTCACCTACATATCCGAAATAAATGGTTTGACAGCTGGTTTCACTATGTTTGGCTCTTAATTTCGGAATTATTACAACATTTCCTTCCTATATCCGCTGACATCAGTGTCAGGCTGCTGTTTGAAAAAATAGCAACAGCAAAATAGTAACCAATCCAGATACAGCTTATTCCCACTCATTATATATAATGAATCACTGGGATTTCTCATTTTCCAAATACAGATAATTGGCATATTAAATGAACAAGAGTGTGATGTTAATTATTGGATTTATTAACATTTTGCTAATGGCATTTTCTGAGTTATGTCATCCTTCTGAGATGTACTAATCAGTCAAAAATATCGTTGTGCGTGAGTGTGTGGATGTGTGTGTGTAGGGGAAGGGTTGTTGTGTTGGCTGATGTGGAATTAATCTGTTTATGTGACTAATTCTGCAACCCTTGGTCCTCAGTAAACTCCAGCCACCTATGATGCAGCCTCTCCTTCGTCGGCTTGTCTTTGATGTCCTTCATCTGACAGACCACAGCAAAATGCCTCTAAAGGTGGATAATTAAATTTGGACTTGCCACACACTGAATATGAAAATAATTTTGTTAACTAATCACGACTTTCATCTATCAGCTCTTGACCAGTCACTATGAGCAAAGGTGGAAGTACTACTCCCACTCTGGCAGGCAGGGTGAGCAGGGTTGTGCATCTGAAGAAGAACTCTACCTGTCTACAAAGTTGTTCTGGGGGGTGTTCAAGGCTTTAGCCAAGAAGGTAAACTAAACTGATTATGTGTGTTAGTCTTGACTTGAGCTTATAATTACTTTAAATTTGTACTTAAGCACAAAAATAATTGCATTAAATGGGGAAAAAAAGGTTTTCTTCAAACTAATTCATCTCATGATGTATCCTTCATCTTTTCTTGTCCTCCTTACGAAGAAAAATGGCAAAATACATTTCTCATGCGCTTCTTTAGTGTACTACGAGAGCCTGCATCGGGGAAGATGTAACACACTTGAGATAAGGTGTTAATTTTTCATTTCCTGGTATGAAACCTCCCACTCTTAAAGTGACTGTTTGGAAATGTGAACAGCATAATGTACGTAAAATATGTCTGCCAGATACTTACCTGAACGATGCAGAACGGGAAAACATCAAAAGAAATAAGTTGATGAGGTCAAACCACCCACACATGGAGCAGACATCAAACAGACTCAGAAGCAGAGCACAGTATTAGCACTGCACAGAACTATGAAGATGTTTTTCGCTGAAATTACTACACAACAAAAGGCTTGTATATGTACAAATGTACATGCTTGGGTGTACAATATATCTCTTGCCCTGCTTATTGCACTTCTTGGTTGGGATTTTGATTGCTCGCGTTATGTGACACTGACAAATCTTTGCATATGAAAATGCTTTTTCAGGAGGAGTATGCAGTCATATGTTTACTTCCCAAGTAACTAAATCCATAACTTATTAAATTTTAATTGAATGAACTGTGTTAAATACAGGCTCTGAAATATATAGGTGGGTTTTTGGTTAACACGATTATTGCAGTTCATATAAAATTAGTTCTTCGCTGTCCTCCCATAACCTGATCTCCTGATGTAGTGTTCCCCTAAATGGCAATGAAAATAATAAGGAAGACGCTAGTATAAGGTGACATGCTGCGTGAGGAGCATGTCGCGCAGCATCATTGTTTTTACTCTTTTTGATAGCTTGTCTTCTTGTCTAATTTGTTTTGTTTTTTATCTACTTTAAAGCCCCAGATACTTCAGTTATTGAGTCCGTGTGTGCAGTGCCTCTCTGCAGTGGCCATGGCCCTGCCTCCTGATCATATGGAACAAAACTGCTTGTCGCACATTGAGAAAATAACCTCCATCGATACAGACGGACACTTTGACCCCCAGCCTGTAGATACATCCAAGTAAGATACCCCAAGGATATTTTTGAATGACTGAAAAGAGAATCGTGTGAAAATGACCTGCCTAATCAGAAGTGTAACCTGTAATTTAGCAGACCAAGTGTTGTATTCTGTGAATATAAACAGTATGATTCGCAGAGATCAATGTGCAGTTTTAATCAAGGCTTAATAATGTATTATTTCTGTCTCTGCATTAGTGTGTCAGTGCCAGAGAGGCTGGAGTTTGTTGTGAACAAGTATGCCGAGCATACTCATGAAAAGTGGTCACTGGAAAAGGTATCATATCCTGGTCTGGACTGACTGTCATCATAAGAATACCTTTGTACATATTTTTCTCTGCCTTGTCAAAACATCTCTCTGTACTGAGTCCCTGATTTATTCTTTGTTTTTTGTTTAGTAAATCTGTGTGTTTTCTCTGACAGTTTGTCGGTGGCTGGGTTCATGGAGAGCACCTATGTGAGAACACCAAAGTTCACCCTCGCCTCAAGCCGTACAGGGCTCTTGCTGAAAAGGTGCAGATGAAGTAGTCAGTTTTTATGGCATGTGTGGATGTTCTTCAAGTGTTCTTCAGGAATGAAAGTGGTGATATCCTAGATGTACAGAGACAATTGCATACATACCAAATGTCAAGTAGTGACGAGTGATTTTCTTCACAGTCCAAACATAGTGTTACCCCCCCTTACCTGATGTAGAGGAGACTACAATTTATTCCTCACTTCCAGCATGAAGACATGTTTGAACAACTGATTTAGCCAGCTGTAATTATTGAACATAAGTGGCAGGATATCAGCTGAACACCTTTAGAATTATTAAGGCATAACATTTACTGTCTCTTTAATTTTTTTAACTTAACATACCTCACCTCGTGCTCCTATGCTCTTCACCTCCGGCCCTCGGTGCACAGTGGAGTTTTTCACTGGCAATGTGCCTGATGGAACAAATAGTTAAGGAGACGAGATAAATGACTGTCTTTGCAAATGCAGTCATGTGATGTTCTAATGTAAAGAAAACAGTTCAACAGTCAAAAATATCCTCTGATCAAATATGGTAGCTCGGCTGCACTCCTGCGTGGAGCGCAGCACACAGAAGTCCAGCCATGTGTGCGAACGCCCATGCATGCCCAGACATGTTTGTGCTGCACATGTCAATCATATGTGGAGGTGCAAAATTAAGTCTTTAAATAATCACATTTATTAAAAATCTCATATTAATGAAAATATTATTTTAAATACATCAGTGTGGACAATAAATAAAGCGGATAAGCCGTCGCCGTTAAATTTAAACCATCCTCAATCCATGACATCATCGTCTGCTGGCACAACCCTAGTACATACTGTAAAATGCTAAAATTGTGCAACACACAGTGAGTCATAATCTTATGAGAAATCTCATTTACATATACAGTACTGTATATAAATCACATTAAAAGTGTTAATATTTATGCAGAAAAGTGTGATCTTCAAGTCTACTAAACATTTACTTTCAAGCATATTTGATCTGATTTTTAACCTTGACAGCTATGTGCAGTACCATTTGGACATCTTTTAGGACCACTGCCTGGTACTTGGAGGCTGGCTATATGCACTTATTGACAGGCTGTTACAAGTTCTTGAGCTATTTAAATAATCTGCTGTCCCTTGATACCTGCTTATTTTAGTTTTGCATTAAACCTTTTCTATATTTCTGATTTTCCAGGAGAAGGAGGCGTACCGCTGGGCCATCAAAGAGACAATAAAGACTATGCTTGCCTTTGGCTGGAACATAGAAAGGACCAAAGAAGGAGATGCTTTTAGCATGCATCCATGTACACGCAGGGTCTCTCAGTCTGGACAGGTATATGTGCTCATGTTTTGCTTGTTCTTGTTAAAGCAGCGTTGCTTACAAATAACTTTTTATTCCATTAATAAGACGTTTTTTTGTCCTAGCTGTCATTTGAAGGCGCATCAACCTTCAGCCCCAAACCTGTGGACATGAGCTGCATCACCTTATCATGGGACCAATGTGTAAGTTAAAGATTAGATATTAGAACTGGCAGTTGACATATTATTCAGTTATGTTAATTTTCTTCTTTCTTATCTCATTTTCAGGCCATGGCTGAACAGCTGGCTGAAAACTACCACAATGCCTGTGCTAAGATGAAGAAATTAGAACTTGAGAGTAAAGGTGGCATTAAGTGTTGATAATATCTAGTTAATCTCCTCTCTTTTCTCTTACTCTTATCTCATCCCCCTTCATTTTAGGAAGAGCTGAACAGCTAATAAAAGTGCTATGCATTTCACTCATATCTATTCTCAGGAGGAGGTAGCCATTCGCTGCTTGTACCTTATGATACCTTGAGTGCCAAAGAGAAGGCTAAATTCAGAGAAAGAGCTCAGGATGTCCTCAAGTTCCTTCAGCTCAATGGCTACACTGTGTGGAGGTGAGTACAGAATACGCTTATGATTACACTAGGGCGATGCAATTCAGTGTGAATGAGGTGCTCCATTTTCATGTCACAGTGGCATTTCTCCCTCACCGTTGATTAGAGGCACTGTAGCAGTCAGTCCACAGCCCTTTTTCTTTGTAATAATTTCCAGTACAGGTCACAACCAGAAATAACTCGATGTGTAAGATAAACGTATTACCTCTTTGTCATCCTGCTGCAACATTTGCATCTTTGCAATAAAAATCTTGAAATAAAAGAATTCTGTATTATTAAGTATTTATGATTAAAGTTCAGTCTTGCTTTTAGTAGTGGTGTTTCATAACTCCTATCTGATTTCTTGTTCTAAAGAGATCGGAAGTCAGTGGAAATGGACTTTCCAGCCATAGCCAACTGCTTTGCATACACGCTGCTTCAGCGGCTCCTGTCTCACACTGAGGAGGCCCAAGAGAACCTTTTAAAGCTTGGTAAGATAATGTTGTATATTAAAAAGAAGATAAAAAAAAAAACATAAAAGATTTTTGCAATATACCGACATGTTAAAGAGAAGTTTTCACAGCACTATATGCTGTCCTGTGAAAAATAACTACACCTCATAACTTAATAGCTTGTCAAACCACTTTTGGCAACAATAACGGGAAGCCATCGTTTCTGGTATGACTTTATCAGTCTCTCGTGTCATTGTGGAGCAATTTTGGTCCACTCTTTTTATGCCCTCACATACAGAGTTGCCTCCAGGATTTTTTCATAGGGGTGGCACACCAAAAACAGGATTTCTGGTTTAATTATGCTGTTTTCAAATATAGGTTACTTGAAAAATCTGGCAAAAAATTGAGAAAGAAAAGAATTATATGCCTAGTTAATTTCCTGCTATTTAAGTTGAAAAAAGGTACTTATGAAAACCAAGCCACCACAGAATAGTTCAGCCTAGTTTGGGTATGTGAACCTATCTTTCTTACATGAAGGTGACATAGAAACACTTTTTTTTTAACTTATCTGTATTATCTTGACAGTTTTACCTTTCATTTTTCATTTTGTCTTTTTTTCTTCAGAGGTGATGCAAGCCAGAGGACAGATGTCTAAGGGAGAGAGGGCTCCACACGAGCAACCAGTCATTTTTTTTCACAAGGTTTGCATCAACCAATCTGCATATTTAAACACAGTCAAAGTCTAGCATCTGATAGAATCTCTGACATTGATTTAACCCCCTTCCAATCTAATTCTGCCAGTGCTATTTTATTTCGTCTCATTAACTTTTTTTTTTCTTATTTCATTTATGCCATCTAATTAGTTTTGTTTGATGGTTGCCATAGGCAACCCCTTTAAGTAAAACCCTTTGGGCTGTGTAATTTATTTAACCATTTTTGAAATCTACGTGGGCGTGTCAATTGCCATCAGGACATTGATTAAGGCTTCCTACACTGCTCTGGCTCTAAGGAGGCAGCAAATGAAAAGAGTTCGTTTTTCATCGATGGGACCTCCAGAGTCAGACCTTGTCAGCCAAGACTGTGAGCAGCCATGCCTCACATCTCTGCTTCTTTCACCTCCCACACAGCCCACTCTCACACAGCTATGCAAGTCTGTGTCTGTTTGGCTGTTCATCTGTCTGTGAATTGCCAGTTCATCATACTTTCTCTGCCTGTCATTAAAGTCATGTTAAAAAGGCACAAGGCTTTGCTCAGTCCCTGGAAGCTTTCTTTCCTTCTTTTTAAAGAAACTTCTAGTAATGATTACAGGGTGTTCAGACTTTTAGGCCGATCACATGGATGTTTACTTATCTAGTGTTGAACAAGAGTAGAGACACATATTTGATGTAACTGTGCAGCCACAGAAAGTTTTCTATTAAGTTTTGTCACTGTGTGGTTTCATGAGCAGAGGACCAAACAGGCAAACCGTGCATACTGTTTAGAGGATATTTAAGGGGTTTGTTAGTTATAGATGTTGGTTTATGAAATGATTATTGACCTTTTCTCTGTTCAACAGGTTATCCTTCCTCTTTTGGAACAGTATGTTAAAAGCCACCGTCTATATTTCCTGTCTACTTCCTCGAGTGATAATAGAAGCCATGCCTCGAGAAAGGAAAAGGAGATGATTGCATGGTACAAAACAAAGTTTGCGTTCTTGTTTTTTATACTCTTATCTGATAATTTCTCAGCTATTTTGTGCATTTTTATTTATTTAAAGAAATATTTGAATTTTTTCAGAAAAAAGCTTCAATATATTCTGTCTTTTTATTTTGTGTCCTGCGATTTTCAATTCATCTTCTCTCATTACTTTCCTTGTGTTTTCTGTTTACATGTAGCCTCTTTTGTAAGCTTGCAGCGCTTGTAAGACACAGGATCTCAGTCTTTGGTAAGGATAGTGTGGACATCATAACATTTATTTGTTTATTAAGTGTTAATCTGTGCTTTAATCCTCATAATTCACATATAATGTGTGCATGTGTTTTTTCAGGAAGAGAAGCCTCATCAGTTGCAAGCTCCCTCCACGTTTTGGCTCAGGCTCTTGATGCCAGGTAACTGGATGGCACTTTCACACTCTGCCAAAATCGATCTTCTCGCTCTGCCTGCAGTGGCATCAGCGTTGCACCACCATGTCTAAGGATGAGATGACTGATGTAATTGAGCCACTGATGCATTGATGCTATCTAATTGTGGTTGATATCACTTTTGCTCCCTGAGGACAATGCCTGTGAAGCAAGCACAGTAGTACTGTGGCTCAGCAGAGGTTGATGCCATTCAGACTTGTCTGAGGGATAGATTAGCTGATAGATAACTGATTTAGTCCATTTAACTCCCAGCCAGAAGTGTCACAGTAGGAAACCTTCAGTGGATATCAATACTATAACAAAATAATGTAGAATATTTTTCAACTCAAATAATTTATTTTCCCACTTTTTCATTATAGGACTTTAATGAAGTCAGCACCAGAGTCTATTCAGACATCTCTGCATTCCTTTTTTAAGGCAGCGGCGTCTGATTTAGAGATGACTGTGGAAACTCTTTCTGAGAGCTTAGTTTCGCTGCCTCAGAGTAGGAGTCAGCTGGCAAGAGGAGTAGCCAAGGTTCTCAACTACACAACCTCCATCCTTCTCCCTACACTCACTTCTCTCTTCCTTCATCTTGGAAACCAGAACCATGGAGTAGATCTCCTGGGTAAGAACTACCATTATAGTGGTTAAGTAGGAATGCCATGTTATTGTATTATTTCATTTACATCCTAAAATGCATGCAGAAACATGCAGATGTCACTTGTTAAGATACATTTAGTTATCATCTCAGCATGACGAGAAACACACATACGTTTTCAGGTGTTGGATGCACAGCTGGTTTCCACACCCCTGAAATCACTTGGGTACACCCTCCCTTCAGCTTGAAACCAGCTCTCATTCAGTGCCTCGGTCATGGCCACAAAGCAGCAGGAGCATACTGTCTCTCCCAATAATATCCCGACCTT